CATGCAGCTCCACCTGAAAACTAGTTAAGTGCAAATAATTACTTTGTTTAAACCTACTTGCAGCTTCATATGGATGGGGTTTGCTTCATGAGACTACCTGCAAGCTTGTTCAGTGTGTTTTTCTGTATAAAAAATGATCCTAGTTGTATTTTTATCCAGATAGACCAACTGACAGTAAAAAAAAAAATCTAAACAATATCAAGAAAATATCTAGGTTGACATCTAGGGTTTGTGTCCCCTGGTGACCCTTCAGTCCTGGTACAGCAGTGAGTTTCTGATGAGGCTGCCAGCAGTCTTATGATGGAGAGATAAACAAAGAGAACCAGTGTGAAGTGAGAAACACACACATACACACTCTTGTTCTCTCATTCACAGTGTACACACAGTGCAATTGCTACTAAGTATTCACACATGTGTGACAGACATGGTGGATAGAGGAAATATATTACCATAAATAAATATAGACCATTGATGTTCCATAGCTATGTAATAGGCTAAAACAACATTTACCCAAACCACCCTGGTGCTAAGGCAGTGCTAGACAAGCAAAAAAAAAATACAATGACAGATTACACACACATACACACAGGTCATATACTAGGTGTCATTCAGGTGTCCTTTGCCAGAGATTGCCTACTTCATCATAGTCACTGTTTGGTTTGATATTAAACAAATAGGTAACTCTTACAAACATACAATATTTGTAACACATTTTAAACAGCATCAGTTCCTCTGTCAAACACTCTCCCTTTAACCAAAACGCCTGAGCAAAAAGCTGAACAGGAAATCTACACCTCACAATCTTTAAGTTTCTTTTGAAGTAGTGGCTCCCCTAGAATAGCAGGGCAAAACAAAAACCTACCATCCATCTGGGTGTTTCTATTGGCCAGACTCTGAGTCTATACCAGCATGTTAATTGTGGGTTTGCTTCTGTTTCTACCAGCTGAGGACCATTGCTAAACTCAGGCGTACTGCGTCCACAGTACAGATGGAGATGATCATACATTTGCTCATTTCCTCCTGCCTTGACAACTATAATTCACTTTTCACCTGTAGCAGCACATCCCTGAACCGCTTATGAGTGGTCCAAAGTCCACCCAGGAGGTCTCATGTAACACCTATTCAAATTTCTTTACACTGGCTTCAAATTCAGAATTCAGTTCAAGATTTTAGTGATTAGGCCTACATTTAGAGCCTTGCATGGTCTATATTAAAGAACTACTGCAGCCATATAATTCCTCTAGGAATTTGAGGTCCTCTGATCAGGGTTTGTTGGTTGTTCCTCATTCCAGGCTCAAGACAAAAGGAGACCGCGCTTTTGAGGTTGTAAATCCTAAACTCTGGAACTCTCTCCCATTGGACGAATGATCTGTGGATGTTTTTAAAAAGCAAATAAAGACCCATTTGATTAGACTTGCTTTTGTTTAATTTGTTCTGTTTTTTGTGTTGGTCTTCATGGTTTTTATTTGTGTTTTATTATTTAATTGTGAAGCCCTTCGTGACGAATGCTCTTGGAAGGAGATATAAATAAAATTTACTTACACAGAACACAACAAGGTCAGTGTGCTGTGGGCACTGCTGATGAAGGCAGTGCAACCAAATGCAGTGGTTTTCAAGCACTGGGTGGTAATCCAAAGGTGGGTCATATGAAGATAAAAATAGCTCCCCTAAATGTTTTCTATGAAAAGGGAACCTAACGCTACTGACTATATTAAGTTACCTTCTTTAGTCTGTGAGATGTGAAGTAGACTGAATAAAAAAGAGGTTTATATGTTTTTACAGATAACTGTTAAATCACCTAAACGTAAGTTTTATTCTCAGCTCCCTACCTGGGTGGGAAATTGGGATGGTGCCTTCAATAAAATATTAGCTCAGGTTTTCTCGTTTTTTATCAAAAATTGATAATAGTGCTGCAACATGAAGACGCATGTTTGCTATTTATTCTTTATACAAAGTTATTGTGGAAATATGAGACAATATAATGGAGCTAGATGCTTTTAATAACAGTTATTTTTATCATTGTCATGAATCCACCAGTTGTATTCTCAATTACTTTCTTTAATGGTTTGGTCAATAAAATATCGTAATTTCTCAAAGCGCAAGTTCAGATTCAAATTGACTGTTTTGTCAAACCAGCAGTCCAAAACTCAAATATATTTAGTGTCCTATTGGAAAAGACAAAAAAAACCTGACAATTTTCAAATTGGAGAAGCAGTGACCTGTGAATTTATGGGATATTTGCTTAAAAATGTATTTAAACAATTAATCACTGATCAAAATAGTTAGAAGGTAAACTTAAGCATGTGCACATGTTGTATGTTATACAGATACTCTTGCAAACTCTCATACACATACAGACAAACACATTCTGTTAATGCTGTTTACACTCACAAGTGTGTAAGATGTTTACTGTGCCTATGGAGTAATTAATTAGTATTTATGTGTACATGGTCACTTAGGCAACAAGATGACATATATATAAACAATTTAAATGAAAGGAGCTTTTAATTCTTTTTGTTTTGTACACCACACACACACACACACACACACACACACACACACACACACACACACACACACACACACACACACACACACACACACACACACACACACACACACACACACACACATAGCCTCATTCTGAAAGTTGTGAAGGTAAGTTAGAAAGCACAGAGAGAGACGAAGAGAAATATAAAAGAAAGAGAGACGCAGCTACTCTGCCTTATGATCAATCAATTTAGCAATGACAGTTCACTGCTATTCTCAGAAGCTATGTTTAGCTGCTCTCCTGCCTGGCACACTGTCAAAGAGTGACTTCATTATACATTAAATTCTCTAGGAAGTTGTACTTCCAGTAAAAGATATGACGTATTGCACAATAGCCATGTCTAGCTGGGTGAGAGTTGGTGCAAACATTAACTCAAGCAATGAATGCACTGAATTCATTTTTTGTAAAATTGCGAATCAATATCTTCCAACAGGAAATTGCAAATGTCCTGGTTAAAAAAATTTGAAAGGAGTGAGACACATCCCAGATAAATGGTGGCTCTGTGGTAAATCTACTGTGGTACTATGGGTGCTGTGCTTTGTGCAGAAGTTGATTTTTCTATACGCTCTATACAGGCTTTGACACAGAAGTACACTGATATGCAGAGGTGCAACTTCAGAACAACAGCAGGGGTATGGGTAGGTGTAATTACAGATGAGTTTTAAGTTTCTTTCTGGTGCTGGTGAGTTGCAAAGGAAAAATCCTGAACTTTGAAGTAATGACACTTAGAAGCCCCAGAGGGTCAAACTGCACAAGAAGACCTTGATTAAAAATGAAAAATGGGTTTCAACACAAATACCAACTAAGATGCAGCTCCATGAAATATCCATGGGCTAATCTCAAGCTAGGGGGCGGCTGGGAGTGTTTCTGTACATATAAAGTTTGGGTTGAAGACAAATAGGCTATCAGCTACCCAGCCCATAAAATATTTATGACATGACCTCATGCTTTGTGGCAAACCAAACAGTCAGAAGAACACTGAAATGGGATGGGCATACATGCAGCCTATGCAGTCAGTACAACTAAAAGGAAATATCAAGGAGCAATAAAATTAGAATTTAACACTCCATCTACATACACACTCTATAAAATAAGTACTCAGTGTTCACCAGCTTTCTAGGTGTGACAATATTGGCTGCTGGTGATGACTGATGGCTAACTAACCACTTTTTGGCGGTAGGCAGCAGCAACTTTCCCATCTTCAATAAGCAATATTATTATTATATTATTGATAAAATAGTGAATGTTGCTGATCAATGATGGAAATGTTAGCATTTTCTCCTGATATTGATGAAACTGGTGTGAAGTCCCCACAGACTCACACACTGGGTTCAGGCCAGGTCTTCAGGCCCCTGAGGTTCAACAACATGAAATCAACTTGTGCCATCTTACATGTGAACATAATTTACTTATGAATTAATTACTGCTTGGTAAAAAGGGTATGTTATACAGAAAGCAGTGTTGTCTTGATCTGAAAAGTCACAATAATATGTGACAAAAACACTGCATGTTGCTGTGTTTTTGTCTCACTCAGGTATAAATGATTTACAGCAGATTCTTTGTGATTTCACTAGGCATCAAAAGACAACAAAACTAGAAACTAGTTACCTAAACATGTATTTAGAAACAAGATGAGCAACAGCAGAACAGTCAAATTATTAAATAAATTAGCCTTTACAGCAGCTACACGCATCAACAATATGATAATAGAGGCTCTCTCAACCGTTCACTTAAAAACACAAACACATTTAAGTGCACAAAAATAGCCACACTAACCAATGATGTAAACTCAGGCAGACATAGAGTATACAGGAGTCAACACAACACTGGCGAGCAAGCAAGACAAAGAAACCCAAAACTCCAGCCAGACTACCTTCTTGTTGACAGCGACAATACGTTCACTTCCAACACAAGAAACACACAAAGGAGGGTTTCTATGTGTATACCGCTAAGCTGCTGCAATAATATTTCACCTTAGATTTCACAGAAGCTGTTCTGTGAAGATAAAAAATAAGAAGCAGACTGCAGCCCGTCGACAGGCTGTGATGAGGGTTTGTTTACACCGACCTAGCGAGCTGGCTAGTCCGCTAACAAGAGCTGCCACATCCGAAAGAAGCCAGTTAACTATTGAACAGAGCTTGTATTTATTTTGACAGCTTCCCACATCGACCTATCTGCCTTTATACATACCAAATACGGGCTACATGTGGATATTAATGCCTCGTGAAGAGAAAGCAATGCTGTGTTTTCTCGCTGGCTAGCAGATTATGCTTCTCTGTTGTTTTGACAGTCAGAATTAGCTGTATAGCAAAGCTGCTAGCTGGCAGGTTACATTCAGAGAGGCGCTAACGTTACGCTAGGAAAGTCCTAGGTGAATTTAACAGTCTGAAACAAGACAGAACAACAAAAATAAAAATGTACACTGGCAAATGCCAGTTGTATTATTCACCTGGTCCTGGTGTCTGAAGATGAATCCGTCCCCTGGGTAATGTAACTCAGTTAACAGAGAGTTGTAGTCACCGCTCTGCTCCTCTGGACTCTGAACATTTACTGACTGTCGATGGACCAGACTTGACTCAGAGACGTCGGTGGGAAGCAGTCAGTGCGTGACGCCGCTCGCATGAGCGGCACACAGCCAATCAAATCGCTCAATGAAAATAAACGACCAATTATTGACAATCAGGAACAGGAAGACAAATATGAGCAACGTTTTTGTAGTTTTAAACACTGACAAATTCCACGAGGTAAAAATATGAAAAATGTGTGGATATACCATTATTCTGAGCTAGATATTATAAGAGCTATGCCTTTCTGCATTTATATTGGGGGGGGGGGGGGTTAATTACGTTGACTACAGTTTTTCAGTTACAAACTTGTTTGGCAAGAAGTAATCATGTCGACTTTAAGCAAGTTTCGACAAAGTTTGGTCAACCTGACCTTCCAGTCCAGCCAGAGCAGACAGTATATTATGATTATCCCAATATCCAAACAGACATTTTCCAATTGCTTGTTTCATCCCATAATCCAAAACTTAGAGATAATAATTTTATAAAGATATAAAGAAAGGAAATCCTGACTTATAAGAGGCAAATATTTTGTGTTTTTGCTGATTTACAATTTAAATGATTAATTGATCATAAGATTTGCTGACAATACTCATTATCTTTCAATCAGCTGTTTACTGTTTCAATATTATGTATGTTACTAATACAATGCATTCTAAAGTTATTCTGTCATTGTAATAATATTAGAAATAATTCTTTAGCAGCATTCATTATAAATCCTCACCGCATGTATTGAGCAACTACACATTATAAATAAAAGAGGTGCAGGTGACGTGACAGTGTTACCACACCACCAGATAAGGGAGTATACAGTGTGATAAAAACGACTTCATGCTGAGAATCACCCCACTGTTGTATCATCTGCTGTCTGTCCTCTCTGCTCTCCTGGCCTGGGGTGTAGCTATATATCCATGGGTGTACACACATACACACACACGTACATGCACACACATGCACACAAACAAACACACCACCCTGCTGTGCCACAATTATGGCTCTGATTACATGATTGTGCAAATGGATTTATTGTGATGCAAGGCTTTGGCAGCTGGGTGTGTTGCTAAACTCAGCACAGTTCAGCAGACTTTCATTAGTCTGGTTAATCAGGTACACAGTCTCACCCCTAAACATGTTCAACAACTTTTTCAACAAATATCTTTTTGTTTGCAGGAAAGGAGAGGCCACAGAAATAACATTCTGAAGAGGTGGCGCTAAAAATGTTGAAAATCTTGCTGCCATTGCTTTACTGATGCAGATGAATGTATTTCAGTGTGTGACGTTACCTTGATACTTTGCCCTGATTATTGTTGTATGATTGTGGGGCCATGAGTTTATCTTATCATATCTTATCTGGTTGATAAGAATTGTTGATGGTGGGTGAAGTTTTATTGTCTTTGAATTATAGGATATTCTATTGGTTTCTGTGTAGTTTATGGAGGGAAATCTGAAAACAACTTTACAATATAGCGTGAAATAATATAACTATATAGATAAAGTTAGAAGAGAACTTGATGTGACTTACCTACTCACTCAACACACTCACTCTTACAGCACCTCACATAACTTATAATGACTTGAAAATTATTTTTACATAACTCATTTACTCAACACATGGTTTTATTCGCTAAGCCTGCAGTTTTTCAGCTTATCGGTTGAACTGGCTGGCTGGTGTAGAGTTCAGCTCCCTCTGCCTGACTTTCTGTCTACATTCATGGTTCAAGTAATAGATTTTTTTACAGTATAAGTTAAGTGTCTTTTGAGTTTTGTGCCAAGGACTCAGTGTATGCAGGCCCATTATGATATGATTTTAGAATTGTCCGGTACTGATAGTGTGGTTTAGCATTTTTCTCTGAAGACACACGATAAAGTGCTTAAATATATGGAATGGTTGGTTCCTTTAAAATAATCTGCTCTAGGAATTTGTCTCAGTCATCCTGCTTTCTCCTGAGAAAAGCAGATAATACAGAATGACTAATGGCTGGCCAGATATCAGAAAAGAAAACATGATATATCAGCATCATGGTCAGTGTCATTTATCAGCATTTCCCTGAATTCACTTCATCAGACTCCATCATCCTCTTACAAAGTGTAATTTATTAATTTTGTTTTCTGCTATATGCTTTTGATATGTAGAGTTTGAGACGTGTATTTCCTCTTGCTTGTTCCAGTGTTTACGTGATGCAAATGCTTGAGCAAATGATCCAACATGCTGCTAAACATGGCGACTCGCTGGTTACGAAAAGGAGACCTTCAGCTCCACAGCCCACCAGTAAACTCACTGTGTAAGGCGACATTACACTGCAGTTGGCAGAGCATCGCAGTTTGTTTGCATAACATTGATTTCTGATTGCACCATGTTCACATTGCTAATCCTGCCTTTTAAATGTGTCTTTGTTGCTCTGTCTCTGTCTGTGTAGGAACATGTGTGCAAACCCCTCCTTGGGTAATGTGGACATTTAGCTAATCTGGTGGTGATTATTTAAGATGACTGGACTTGGTTCAAGAGTCAATCAAAATTGGCCAATATGTCTATAAACCTGTGTACAATATGCACACACAAAATATGTGTGTAAAATGTGAATAAAGATATTAAGTGGAATATCTCTACCACCACTTGTACTTGTTGTAAACATTTAAACATACAATATTGAGAATAACATTAAAGAAATATGTTGAAAGTTATTTTTTTCTGTAGCTCATTATTAATTTATATAATTTAATTTAATAACATTTTTTAAGTTATATAAAGTAACTTTCCATTAGCTGGTAGTGATGTGTTTGGTGTCTATCAAAGAGATTGTATGTGTTGCTGGAATCCTGTCATCACAAGTCACAACAGGCAGACCACACCTGACATCAGGTGTATGTCTGTTTTGTGTATTTCTTTGTGAAACTATTTAAATCAAAAGTGTTTATTAATTCAATTGCTGTCACTTTTGGGTAATAGTTTTAGTTAAAGTAATAAAAATACCAAATTACAAATTGGGCGATGTTTTTCAAAATCCAAATGCAGCTAGGAACTAACATGTCTTGACACACACTAAACAAAAGAAGAAATACAGCTATAAAACTAACTGTAAAGCTACAGTAATAACATCCATGGCAAAACAAGCCTGAATGCAGCGCACATGATCCCACATTTGGTCACTAACTCCCTAATCTAATACACACACACACACACACACACACACACACACACACACA